GACCGTATCACCCTTTAGTTCAAGCACTGAACTAGCAATGTTGATTTTTAAATTCATGAATTGACAACCGGAAAACTATGAAAAACAGCGCAGGGCCATTTTTTCGCCAGGGGTGCGTTTTGAACCATCCTACCCTACGTATTCCAATAGACCTTTTCGATGCTGAACCGTCTTTCTCTATCTATCACACATGTATGAATCGACGGTGTATTTTCCCACTAATGTGTTTCCCTCTTGCTCGCACTCGTTGGATTTAAATTGTACAGTAGTTGCGCCGATTAGACGTCGAGAAGCTCTATAGAGTTCTCTACCCCCTTTAGTATTAGTGAGAAGTTTAACTAACACATGCATTTTACTGGTTGAAAATAAAAAACAAACCGCTGTCAAGTCGAACACTTTGACAGCTGATTTCTTGGTTGAAAATAATAAACAGATCGATTTTACACGGCTATGCTCGCTAGGTTGTATTAGTGAGATCTTGCGTCGAGAAGTCAATAAGACCAGTCAGATGTTGTCCCTTCATATTTGTGCACGGCCGATGAGATCAACCCAAAAAAAAAGCCTCAATAATTTGCTGGAAAATGAGGAAAATATACCAAAATTTAATAGTAGTACCAATAGACCAAGAAAATCCAATTGTTAGAACTCTGGCATTTTTTCCTTGAAAAAGTGCGAAAAAACTGGAAAACAGTAAGTAAATCGCACTTTTTGCGATTAATGAGTAAAGTAAAATCAAATTTGGGTTGATCTCGTTGGCCGTGTAGTTGGTAATTTTCCATGTAAAATATCACATGATTTTCATGTGTTCACACATAAACAGAATCCACCCAGAAGTACACATGATATTTGTGAGTCAAATGAACAGTATGTGTGGTTATACATGAATTTGATGTGTACACATAAGAACTATGTGTCCGACATATATAGATATATATATCATTTGTTTATCACATTGCAAAAATTCATGTGTGGGACACATAAAAATTCGCATTGAATTTTTATTAGTGTAGGCCCTTTTCACAAGAACCCTACCCGATGGTGTTGTAAGTTTGCGTAGACGTATTCGGTTCACGCGAAAAGGTCTTAACAGGTTTTGTGTACAAAAGTTGATAGGCACGTCTCAAATGTTACGCGAGTATTATTCATGTGTTCATTTTAAGAACACAGGGCCCCGCTGTTGTGTCACTTTTTGTCGAGAGAGTGAACTCAAATTCATCCATGCACTCGTCTATAGAGATTTTCACGTCTGGTTGTATTAGGTTTTGCGCCGTCGGGGTTAACCTCAATCTGATGACAGTTCAGTGGTACTGTTTACGTGGACTTAGTCGATTTTTTCTTGGGTGGATTTTCTCGATATTTTTTCAGACTGCAGTGAGATGTAAACCACACTTCTGAAATGTCCACGAGCAACATCCTAAAATTAGGAAATTTTAGAATATATTTTTTTCGAAAAAACGACTAAGTGCTTGTAAACAGTACCATTGAACTGTCAAAAAGATTCAGCCGATTAACACTGAGTTCATTAGTGACGTCACGCTGCAGTACCTGATTGGTGCGATTTGAGAGAGCGTGTTAGTGAATATCCGAGGAAAATACATAACAAATCGATGTCAAACTCATTTTGACAGATCTACTTTCATACATTTTTTAGGTTAGCCAGAGGAAAATAATAAACAACTTTACACGGCGTTGCCCCCGCTAGTGTGCGTGCGTTAAACGTCACTAATCTCTATTGGGGGTGCCGTTGTTTGACCAATTGAGCGCGAACCAATTGAGCTGTGAAATAGCTGTTTGGCCTGTTGAGCTGTCAAATCATGACCAACAACAGAAAAGAGCACATCAGCTATTGCGAACAAAACTTTCGGAACCCGTTTTCTCGTGGCTTAAGGCTCGCCTACGCAAACTAACACCATCTTTGGGGAAAATTTCCTCTATCGATTGGCGAGGAAAGAATAATCAACGTTGTGTTTATAAAACTTGATAGTACCATTTCAATTGAACGCTGGACGTCGTTTCTGCACTTCTTTGCCACCCAGAGCGCTAGTGTTGCTACGCTAGCTCCACCTGTTGTAATAAAATTTAAACTCAGTTCGATCATGTTTGCAACAGATGTCGCTAGATGCGCTATTGTAAAGGACCGTATTATGGTCTATCATACTATTTCATTGCTAATGCAATAATACATTCATTTACGCTATAAAATAGCACAAACTTAAAGTAAACACTAAATATGATTGAGTTATATTTGTTTTCTTATAAATAAGCAATAGCTTTCGCAGTCAAAATCGTATTAAAGTAATTGATATTTACAACGGCTGTCCAGTATATGTATCATTACCATTCGCCTTCGGTAGTAAATTTTGACAGCCCGTGAGTGTGTGATGCAGAGCGGAAGATAAACAAATCGTTCTCTTTTTCAGTGGTTTCAAACTAATTCCTCCTCAGGTTCGTCAATAAGTTTATTAATATTTTCAGCTTATGAAAACATTCCGTATCGGAAATCGGGAATGCTTCGAAGAGTTACAATCCCGGTTTGTGATCGTGATCGTGTGGACGATTAGAATTTTAAAATAATCTGTTACTTTATGCGAAAAAGTGCAGAAATTTTGAAACATAGGAGTTTTATTTCATCATATTTCAGGTTTGCATTTTGAAGTAGTAAAATGCCCGTAAAGTGTTGTGTGTTTGGCTGCAACAACAAGTCCGGGATAGATAGTGAAATATCGTTTCATCGATTTCCTATAAATGCAAAAGTGCGGTCGCTATACTACTTGAAAAAGTGGGTGAGGACTTTGAGACTGGGTAAAAAACTTAAGCTATCCGCAGCGAGAGTTTGTTCTCGACACTTTTCCGAGAAACAATATGAAAACATCGGTAAGTAGTATTTTTGATTGCTTGTAATATACCGTAAATTTACAATATCACCCATAGCTTTTCGACGATTGAAAAATACGGCAGTGCCAGATAAATATTTACCGAAAAAATCGAAACAAATATCCCGTCTGACAGTCTCGGTGAGTAGTGTTTACGTGTTTTATTTTGTTATTAAAAAACGGTATTGATAAACACCCATCAAATGAAAGCTTTGGAGGTGTCCGGCTATTTGACCAAACGCCGTTTGGTAGAATTTGGCCAAATGCTAGGCCGAATGCCATTTGGTCGAATACTTGAGAAGAATTCATCAATCTTCTAACAATACTATATTTCTGAATATTTCAGAACTTTAGTTTTTAAGAAGTTTTGAGATTTAAAGGAATCTTCAAGATGCTTAACTTAGAAATTGAACCCTCACTTCGTGGCACTCACAAGATCTCAGAAGGACGGGATACGTCGCCAACCACGAAACCCACAATTCAACAAATTAATAAGAAATCAGAATTTAATGTTTTTTTCCTTCTTTAAAACATGATAAGTTGTTCGAATTTTACAATGCTCGTTATTTTTGTCACTGTAAATGGTTTTGGATTTCTTTTTGAGAAAAGCTATTCAAATGTATTATGAGAAATTAGAATATGATATTTTTAGTAGATTTTTCCTTCTTTTAAACTTCAGCAGTTCTTTCGAATTTTGTTATTCTCGTTAATTTAGATACTGCGAATGGCTTTGAAAAAAATGAGAATAAGGATTCAAAAGTATGATGAGAAAACAGAAAAATAATAATTAAGGGAGACTTATTTTATCCATCTTTTAAACATGAGTAGTTATTTGGAGCAATGCTGTTCTGGTTATTTTTCGCACTGAAAATGAAACATAAAATTCGTTTTTTAGGATTTATTTATTTATTTATTTATTTTATTTATTTATTTATTTATTTCGTCAACCAACGTAGACTAGTACATATTAGAATACAGTTTTGTTTTCTTAAATTTATTTATTTATTTCGTCAACTTTGGACAAAAGGTTAAAAGTATAAAGTGTGTTAGAAATAACCGCTATTCAAATGTTTAGTTTCATGATTTCATTTCAAAATAATATGCGGTTTTCTTTCAAACCATCAAACCATGTTAAGAAACAAAGCTGAATAATCCTTCGTTTATCAATATACAACTAATCAGTATTCGGCCATATGGCATTCGGCCAAATGACCTGGAACCGCTTTGGCACATCCCGTTCATATTATGCTAGAATCTATCTGTGGGTTGGAACACAATACAAATCATATGTAAATCCCGTCCAAAAAATATTGTTAAACCCAAGAAATATATGGAAAAATAACCCCCAATAGAACATTTTCAAACTAGCTTCAAGATAAAGGAGGGATACTATGATTGCATTTGGGATGGCACCATGACTTACAACAAAAACAAAGCAATTTGAACTTTTTTTGATATGAAAGTTTTTACCGGTTCTTAAGTCACAATATGAAGTAGAATAAAGAATTTTGTATGTATTGAATGTATTAAAAATCGTAAAAAAATTTCACCCTGAGGAACAAATGTGACTCCTGATTCTTTTGATTTTATGTTATTAGTTATAGTTTAATTTGCTACTTTTAGCAACAACAACGATGTCACAGAGCACAGGATCGTTTACACAACAAGGAAATAAATTTTAATTCTATAAATAGTGATCTACAGGTAATTTAAAATTATATTAAAAAAGTAGCGCATTATAAACTACATTTTCTTAGGCGTCCGACAGCTCTAGCGATGTGCAAAGCCTGCAAAAAGATCCACTTGCTCTTTCACCTCCAAGTCATAACTGTACTTCAAGTGAGGATGAATTAATCTTTCAAACTCCAGTTCGAACATATGAGGGCACATCAGTCAAGGTGGATGCTACGAACATAGTCGATGCTAGTAGCATGTTAATTGCTGAAGAAGTTGAAGTATACACCACTGAACAAAATTCCTGGTAAGAAACTATTGCATCTTTTTACCGTTCACATCAATGAAATGAAACTCATATACTGTATTTGTTTATTCAGTTCAATAGACCTCGAAGAACTTCATTGCTCGTACTATAATAAGCAAAGAAATTCAGGAGTTCTGGCCTTTCAGAGTAACTTAGGCATCGATACTTCTGAAGAACCAAGTTCTTCTTCAACTCATGTTGAACAGCCGTACGTATTTCTGTTTTTTTGTTTCATACATTATTTACAAATGTTATATTGGTATGTAATCAGGCCGTATAAAACGTTGCTCAACTTTTTGGCTCAGCTCTGGTACTATCTTCGGTCCCAAGCTAATCGATTCACCCCTCGAAACATAGGAAAATCCACTAACCCCTCATTTTATCTGTCAAACTTTCATAGCAAATCAAAACAAACATTGTGTAGTACTAGAATTTTGACTAGAAAGGGAAACGTTAATCGATTTGCTTGGGACCAATAGGCTAGTCAAGTAGTGAACCAATTTAAAATCGATAGTTTCGTATTGATTGTTGGTACTACCATAGAGGTAACTCTAAGACTAGAATGTCCCGAAGAAACGAGCTCAACTTTTTGGCTCAACTCTGCTACTATCTTCGGTCCCAAGCTAATCGGTGCACCCCTCGAAACATGGGAAAATCCACGAACCCCTCATTTTATCTGTCAAACTTTCATAGCGAATCAAAACAAACATAGTGTAGGTATGGAATTTATACTAGAATGGGGTACGTTAATCGATTTGCTTGGGACCAATAGGCTAGTCAAGTAGTGAGCCAATATAAAATCGTTAGTTTCGTATTAATTGTTGGTAATACTCGGTATATCTGTCATAAGTATATCCATTTAATGCAGTTTTTGCTTATTTCAGCCTCAAAAATCCTATCCAGAGTATTCTCCATCCAGATGTGCTGGTTGTAAGCAATCTAACCGACGACGAGATCAAATATTTAACAGGACATTCGAAAAACGAGTTTAACGTCATTTTTGACTTCGTTTTGTCAGAGCACATTAACGTCGTTTGGCCTTATCAGAGTCTTCCTTTGAAAGAGCAATTATTAATGACACTGATGAAATATCGACTAAATTATGATTTTATATTCTTGGGTACTGTTTTCAAAATAAGTCATAAAGCAGTTTCTACAGTATTTCGACATTGGACACATCTGTTGTACGGTGCGTTTTCTACAGTCAATTTTTGGAAAACCAGAGCAAAAGCTGAGGAGTTGTATACAGTTATACTTGATTGCACAGAAATTGCAATAGAAAAACCTACCTTACCTGAAAAACAGCAAGCCACATGGTCATCCTACAAAAATTGCAACACCTTCAAGGGATTAGTTGGAATCGATGAAGCTGGAACTGTAATCTTTGTATCCGATCTTTTTGGTGGCGCTGCTTCAGACGATGTCATCGTTGCAAGATCTAGTGTTCTTGATCTGTTGGCCGAAGGGGATTATATACTGGCAGATCGAGGATTTGAAGCAACCGACGCACTAGCAGAAAAAGGAATTATACTGAATAAACCCCCAAAGAAGAAAGGAGAACAAATGAGCGAAGAAGATGTCGCACGCACTAGAGCCTTAGCATCAAGGAGGGTGAATGTAGAACGAATAATTGGATTAGTGAAAAAAAACCGAATTTTAACACAGAAGGTTCCACACCATTTATTTGATGTTATTTCTAGAATCTTTAGGCTACTGTTTATGTTGGTAAACATTAAACCATCCATATGCCAATCAATCGATCCCATTTGCAAATGTAAGAAAAATTAATAATAATAAAAAGGAAAATTAATAACAGGTGAACTATGCAAAGGCTGAAAGCCTCTATAGTAAAGAAAAAAAGAAAAGAAATAAATTAAAAACAAATTGCGATGGGTGGTGCCATTCACTATTCGGGGTCACTGTCGTAACTTGGGGCACTGTTTAAGTCACAGTAGGTTTAGTAGGTGGTGTATAAATACACCAGGACGATTCGGAGAACCTAGAACATCTGTTATGGATAGAAAGGATCGTAAATGATACACACTATGTATAAGTAAGTGTGGAACTTCTGGGAAGTTTCTGGTTCCGAGAACTCTTGAAGCTCACACAAATTTACAGAAGATACATAGAGCAGCTTCCCAGAAGTTATCAGAATCCATTAGTAGTTCTTGAAAGATCTTTGAAATTTTCAGCACTTCCTTAACGTCCTCGGTGGTTCCCAGAAGTACTCGGAACATTCCGGTACCTCTAAGAAACTTCCCAGAAGTTCTCGAAATTTAATGGAAATTCTTGGAACTTTTCTGAAGTTCTCAGAAATCTACAGAAGTTTTCAAAACTTCCCAGAAGTTTTCAAAACTTCCCAGAAGTTCTCGGAACACCTAGAAGTAAGTTTTTAGAACTTCCCATAAATTCTCAGAACTTCCCAGAAGTTATCGAAGCATCTGGGAAGTTCTCAAAATTTCCGAGAAATCCTTGATAATGCTAGGAAGTTCTTGTAATTTTTGGGAAATTCTCTGAACTTCTGAGAAGTTCCCTGAATTTTTGGAAAGTTCTGGAATTCCTGAGAGATTCGTGTAATATCTATAAAGTTTTTGGAATATCTGGGAAAATTACGTAATTTCTGAGAAATTTCCTAATTTCTGTGAAATTTTCGGAGTTTCTGTGGAATTCTCGGAACTTCTGGGAAGTTCTTGATTTTTCTGCGAAGTTCTAGAAATATTACCACGAATAATACTGTCAAAAATAGTGATTTTAGTGACCATGTTGAAGAAAAATCAAGGCGAAAAAAAGCAATCGTAAGCCACGTTGGTACTATGTATTAGCGGAGGTTTTCAGGATACATGAGTAAGTGAGTATTCGGAATGTCATTATAAGCTTTTTATATATTTTTATTTTTCTTCAAACCCGAAAGTCTTACAATATTCCTCACAAAATACATTTTTATAAAACGAATCCAGTGTTGGTAAAACCTTATCCATGAACTCTTTGTCGTACTGTACGATTTCTGTATGGATTCCTTTTAAAGTATAAACAACAAAATGGCAAACCTTCGTTTGCGTCACGTGCATCTGCGTTTGTATCTGGTAAAAATATTTATGATTTGGTTTTAGGTGTCCGTCTGTATCCAAAAACGGCGCCTTAACCGCTTCACTATAACGAATGCTATAAGGACATTTTATTTCAACAATTTCATTGCCACACTCGCTTATGGCATCTGGTGATGCCGCTAAATAATGCCTTCGCGTATCGATATATATTCCGCATTTTCGAAATGTTTTTGAATTATAACGATGATTAATGAAACCCTTAAAAGCAATATCCTCGTGCTTTGTTCCCCAAGCAATCGCCGGTATGTTTTGAAGAGTTGCACGTTTAAAGTTGAAACGTGCGGGAATGACACTACATGCCGTGCTTTTCTTCGATGCAGTTTGCATGGCTGTTATTACATCCTTAATTCTAGAGGCCGTCAATCGAGATTTTCTCGCCTCGAACCATTTCGGCGATGTATTTTGTCCTCGAGTCAATTCCTCCATATTGATCACCAATGCCTCATCGACAAAATTCAGTCTATCTACCGTGGTCTCGTAAATAGACTTCTCGAGGTATTGATGGTCGTTAGCAATTCCGTGCATATTTGCTTGCAGACTCCAGTGCATGCTGGGATTTAAATTATAAGCAACGGTTAAGTTCATTAACCGTTCAGTAGCATCACCTTGCCTAAGACTAGTTTTGGGGGTAAACGGCACTGAAAAAATATTGTTGATAGGCTCGTTGACTGATTTTCTTGGGGCGTTTTTAGGGGGCCGATGCCAAATTTGTAACGCATTTGTGCACCCCTCGTCTTGTAGAACTACTCCTAAAATCATTAAAAAAGGCATAACATTATTCAATCAGATTTTTCCATCATCCGTAAAGTAGACGATTATAAAGTTAATATTATTTTCACAGACAGGCATAAAGTTCTTCATACCAATCATTGTTCATTCATTTAGGCTTTGATTAAAGGTTTAACCAGCCGTCATTGATTTTTCGAAAACCCATAGCAGTTTTTTCGTTCAAATCAAAAATTCTGCCCACGAAAATGTGTTCATTGTGTCTGATCCTAGATCGAAAAAACTGCTTTTGATTTTTGAAAAATTAATGACGGCTGGTTGAACGTGGTTTAAACTCGGAAAACAAGTTTTTATAACAAATATTCAATATGGGAACCTTCTCACCCGTTCACACGAGAAACTTTTTGGCACATATAAACAAAATTTTCCGGAAACATGTTTTCTGGTTTTTGCTTCCCATGTGTACAGCGCTTAACTAATGACCCAGACAACCAGAAGTCGTATAACAATGTACAGACAGTATCGTAAATTGTTACAGTTTAAGTCAAAATCGCATATAAGAATGGCATACCTCACATTATGTTTAAGTTAAGTCGTATAGAATGCAAATTTCCGACTTATATACGATGACTCATTTTTCCGTCGTTCTGTATCACAAATTAAATCGGATTACATCGTAAGGCATTTCAAAATGAATTTGTTATTAAGATTAAATCGTATATGATGTTAAATCAACTCGTTTATAATTAAATTAAAATATGCACGTATATGTTTTTTACTTTTTTCGTATAAGCCTTTTATTTGCATTCTACCAGATATATTATATTAACAATATGATCCACTCTTTCGCTTAGCTGGCGAACCGAATTTTTAGCGATGAAAGCACCTCTGTGGCCAAAAAGACTACCAATGTATTTGTTTATCGTCACGAGGGGTAAACCAAATGAAAATTTGTTTAATATTTCTAATGAATGTATTTCAGCATTTTATATTATTTGATGACAGCTGTGATAGGTCAGACAAATTTTAAAGTAATATACACAATGTAATTAATGAAAATAATTTGACTCTTAGTTTTGTAATAAGTGCTATATTCGCACCCCTCGATTGTAATTGAATGATTGTTGCTGAACTTTTTCAACGCTAGATGGTGCGTGAAGCAATATTTTGCGGGTCACCATTGCAACATTTGGAAAAGGCATGAATGGATCATATTGTTAATATGATATATTTGATTCTATACGATTATTTTGTTTGTATGTATGTTTGTATATCATGAAAACAACTTTGAATATACGTGCATTCTGGTTATCTGGGGATTGTAATGTTTATTAGTTGGTAGTGTCGCCACTGGAGTGTCTAGTATGGAGTTTGACGTTTCACATTACCGCCATCTCTTGAGTGCTCTGCCCTTCACAACGAGCTCTACATATAGTCGCTATATTTATAGTCTGGTGAATATAATTCAGAAGCGGAACCAATTCGATATATTGATGAGAAACAATCACAATGCTAAAACCGCGCACAAATACCAATAGCACCATCGGATAGGGGAAACTTTTCTTGAACATGATGCTGTTGGTTTGAGTAGACAAGTTTAAATTTACTAGAAAACAGTCACCGAAGTTTTGTAAGTTTTCTGTTGTTTAACCGCATATGTTCTATTGGTTCCGCTTTTTGACAGTTCAAATTGGTTCTCGAAATCCTGTACACCATCGCTGGTAACAGGAGGCGTTTCGGTGAGCGCCCAGTGACGGAAGAATTTGTGCTGTTCGTACTATCCACGCTTCACATTCGACACAGTAGAGTGGATGATGAAGATCCATTCGCATCATTCGCATCTTTCGGATCGATCGCATAGATCGCATCGTTCGCATCACTCGCATCATTCGCATCATTCAGTCTGACCCAATGTAATGTAAACAGGTGTGGCCCAGGAGATAGTCGTCTCTTTCATTCCTCCGCTGTTTAAATGGATGATGGAGTTTGACGTCAACCATTTAAATATCGGGAGAACGAAAGGGACGACAAACTCTTAAGACCTGACCTGTTTACAAATCGCACCAATACGAACACGCCTGGAGAGGACTAGCTCCAATGAGCTGGATTACCGAGATGAAGCATGCTATGCGTTTCCGTTGATTTTTTGGTTTACTAATACAACAATATTTCACAATCTGCTTCACCTCTCTCTGTAACACATTAGACTAGCTCACAGTATGCTCAACAGATGGCGATAATGTAGAATGAACTGTAGTAAACATTTAAAACCTACCAGTCGTTATAAAGTCTTCAATACAACATAAAAGCGCCGCTATATGCTTGCAGGCAGAGCTGTTTCCTGCTCCAGCAACGCAGCCACATTGTGACTTTGTTATTTTTTTTGCAATACTGCAAACTTCAAGTTTTATTTGATAGTTCTGCTGCTTTCTCATGGTGGCAGCGCAAAATCCTCTGATTTGGATTACGGCTTCTGAAATCTGAACAAATCAATTTGTTAAATATAATTTTCAAGGTTGCAAATATTCATTTCAGCTTAAACAATCTTTTTTTTATTATGAAATAATTAGATGCCATGATCATATTTTGAATTGGTAGGATACAACAAAATGTTGCAAAGAATGTGTTTGACATATTAAACCTGTTTATTTCACTTCATGAGAGTCACAATCAGCGATTTTTCACACACTCACTCAATCACTCACTCACTCACTCGCTCAATCACTCACTCACTCAGTCACTCACTCAGCGATCAGAAAATCGCTGATTTTGACTCATAGAAAGCCACATTTACAGGTTTTATGTTACAAACGCATACTTTGTAATCTCTTCTTGTAAGTTACAAGTAAAACATGTCATCATACCATCTGTTGGTTTTATTATTCCAGAAAACATTATTTTAGCTGAAATGAGTATTTGCAACCTTGATTAATTTTATCATGCAGTAAACCCTTCATCAGTCGTCTGTCATTAACAGGGTAATATAAAAAATCTGTAAAATCTAATCAAAACTTCTTTTTAATGAGTTCTACTACCAAGTATTGACTTAAAGAGGGTTCACTGCACAAGTATACACTTAACGGTAACCGTAATATACTCAATAATAACTTTGAAATATTCAATATTGATTGTAAAATACGCATTTTCGAGGGCTGGGACTACTCATCAAATAAGTAAAATTAAATGAGTAAAGTTATTCAAAAATGATTAACAGCTACTCATTTTTGTAGTAAAACAGGTAAATTTTAACTCATTTAATGAGTAGTCCCAGTTTCTCTCGAAAATGCGTACTTTATAGCCATTGTTGAGTGTTTTTCAGCTACCGTGTTCTAAACAACAAAATCTACATTCTATTGTACAACTCTACTAGTATTCTACAACTACGAAAGTCATTGAAGTTTAACATATTTTCTAATAAAGAAATGAACAATAACCTTGATTCATCCACATACTGGTGATAAGTGCCTTACACATCTAATATTTAACGTGTTTATTTAACATTTTGTTACTACCGCGTAGGATTTCATAAAATGCCTGGGTTTAAGACACTCAGAATCAGTTCCCCAGAATTATCGACAACAAGTCGAGGTGTGAGAGGGAACAAATAGAAAAATTAGTTTACATTAATACAAACATTAATTCATCAGTAAAGAGTAGGTTTCCAAACACTACAATGACTATTATGTTATCAAAAATATGGAGAGCAAAGATGCTACGCAGAATGTTCCAACTTTCAAATCATTGATAAATCATGGTAAACAAAGGCATTTTCTTGTTTTAGGGGATGAAATCTAATACATTTCTCCTACCGTGCCTTAACTAACTATGCTATTTGAGGCTCCAAAACGTTTACGTCCCCTACAATTTTGTAAGATGCAGATGTTTCAGTATTCTTTTCTTTTTAGTTATAACTTGTTTATTTTATCGTACTTTAACGCATTGAAAATATAGAACATAGGTAATTGTCAAGAAATTCAAGAACAAAAACATCAATTGGGTTCTTTAGGGATATTGTAGTAATGACATATTCGTAATCTGCATTAAAGATGGAACCGAAATCATAAATTCAATCAACTTTGGTGCACTGGAAGAGTATGATAACATTAGCATAAATCACCATCTTAGTGCCCCTCGGTGGTACTTCAGTATGGGGCGAGCTGTCAATTTGTTAGCTTTATGTCAAAAAGCGAAGTGATTATTTTGCTTTAAATTTTGATTTAAAAATCGAGTTGAAAGTCTACGGGGTTGAAAAAAATATCATTGTGCACAGAAAACGAAGCTTAATTGCCTGTCACCCCAAAAGGCCTGGGTTCAATCCCAGTTGGTGCCGCTGGATTTTCTGAAGCATAAAATCCCTAATCACGGGAAGAAAAACCGTTGGTCCCCGGTCCATAAGTTGATGGGTAGGGTCTAGGTGTGGGAGCTGCCTCCTTGGCGTTGGTAGCATTGGTACTCGGTACGGAAAACAAGTCAAAGAAAAAAAAAAGAAAACTAACTATTAAAGAACTCAATTCTGCTAACAATACTCAGTAATAACATTTGTTACCTGTACTTTAAAAATTAAAATTAAAAAACTGTAAAACCAAAGCTTCCCGATGTAACAATTTTTAACGATAGGTGAACCTCCCCTTCCCCCACTTTACGCGTTACGTAATTTATGGATTCAGCCTTGGTGATAAAGTAGCCTTGATCGAACCATTACAAAAAATGCAAATCCGTCTCTGGTGATTAAGGATTAAAAGGCTGGGTATTGTAAACATGACTAATAATTTAAAAAAAAATCCACAACATTACAACAGTAGAGCTTCGCTAACTGAAACCTGATTAATTGACATTTAGCGATCGGCATTCTAACTGCTCGATAATTGAAACTTAAGCCAACTTTCAGTTCAAAGACGTTTCAGTTAAAAGTCTTTCAGTTAGCGAGCGTCTAATGTATTACTAAACCATATAATCTACTTCTACAAATCTAGCTAAACATACATTGGTACGACTCGTAAGGAAACATTACAGAAGTTTTTTTACAGTTCAAGCCATAAAAACTAATAACACTGATTATTAGATAAACAAATGCAAGTTCGAAATACTCTTCTTTTTCTTATTTGCAATCGATTATTTCTTGAAGTGCAAAAAAGGTTAATTAGCATAATCTATTGTAAGCATTTTCAGGTAGTGTGAACATTAATTATTGAAGATTGCTTGAATTATGAATGATGAAAAAATTTAACAACTCATGATTGAACAAAAATATGAATTAATAAGCGCCGATTTTTTCACCATCGCTTAAGTCCTCGTTTAACCAGGTTTAACTATATGGGTTAACATTTAAGAGGGGTGAAGAAATGGGTCCAAAAACTGCTAATATACCGAACATTTTTATCAAAATTCACAAAATTGAACATATTTGAAGATCTGTAGCATTGTTTTCAATTGCGCATAGTAATCTACCAGCGTCAAAAATTTCAGAAACGTTGATGAGAAACAAAAAAAGAATCCGTTTTTGTCCAGTACTGCAGCATCAAAATTAATCCATCAATTATTGATCTTTATTAAATATGATTCGATGAACATTAGTCTCAATAATATAAAATAAAATGTAAAGAATAAAAAAAATGTTTCATTACGAGTCAATTTACACACAAAGAAAAAATGAAAAAGAAACCTTCGTATAACTCATGTTTTTCATGAATTTATCTTTAAACAGGAGTCTACCATTTTTATAACTGTTTAACGCGGTTCTCTCTTCAAAATATTGATATGGTACTGTTACTATAAACCAGCTTAATTTGTCTCTAAACTCTGCATCTAATGGTAGATAGGGTGGTGCTTCTTGGAAATCTGATGGATCCAGTGGAGGCACTACTTGTACACTTTTTACAAAACTATTGTTGAGGTGCTTCTCTCTGTATAAATTTACTCTAAAAAACTAATCCGTTAATAATCATAATAATAATACTTATAATACGCTAAACACTCGTGTACGGGAAAGTGGGGCAAGATGGCCACGCTAAGGAAACTCTAATACAATTGCTCTGTTTTGTCAAACAATAGTTCTCTCTATTGCCTTAAAAAAAATTCAATGGTTGGCTTATGAAAAAAAAATTGGGGCATTTTAGCTCATAGTTGTGGTCAATGTCACCGATTTCAACCAAACTTTGGCAGGATTTTATAGAATTTTATAAATTATATCTTTGAATAGAGATTACTCCGCAACCAAACAATTTCTGTTCTTGACCCACCATTTTTAAGGGATTTTAATGTAGAATTTGATGATTTTATCAAACTTTGATTTGTGATAATCAAACTATTGTAGAGAAAGATAGATTATACTAAAGCATCCGAATGATTAAAAAGGGCCCTTTTTCATACCGCTCTGAGTTTGTTGCTATTCAAGATTTTGGCCTGAAATTCCCTTCACGTATTGGAATGCCTAACTACTAGATGTGTTTGAAAAATCAAATGATTTAAACATATGGTTCCTAAAACTCTTAAAAAACCAGGGTCGCAGCCCAAGCCAAGCATTTTAGAACAAAATACAAAAAGGTGTTTTCTTAGAATATCAAAATAAGCATCTTGGCAAAGCTTGGTTGAAATCGGTGCAATTGACTTCAACTTTGTATACACTTGAGCTGGAATGACCCAAATTTATTATATATACTTTTTTGCTACCAACCCTAATAAAAATTGTATGGTTAATTTGCTTAACGACGTGTTCTGGGTATCATCCAAACCATTTGTGGAATAGTTCAATGATTTGGGTTATCGTTCGTTTATGTTTTTTTTTATTAGGGAAGGAGCTTCAACAAAAATATAGGTACAAACAGTTTCTCTGTCAAAAATTGGATAGCTGTTATATCTTGATATTCTTTGCAAAGTATATCACATTAGGCATTCTTCAAATAGATTTCATAAGGTTCAGCATAAAGATGTTCAATTTTTTCTATGTTTTTGAACTTTAAACATAAGAAAGTCTTAACAGTGCTTGATGTTTAACTGTCATGATGAATTTGTTTGTTTTTCTTGTATGCGATTTTTGTATGGAATGAATTTTTGGCATTAAAACCCTAATAGAATTGATAGTGATTGTCTTGCCCCACCCAATATAAGCATTTTAAATCACTATACAATAATTTATTAAAAGCTAAATTAACATGAAGGGTAGAGCACAACTTCGGCATAAGCGCCCCAATCACCACTATTTCTCGGCTGTCCTTCATCCAACTGAGTAGATATTCTGTAAATAACTAGATTATGGCGGATAACATATGATTTGACGATTGACTTGTACCGTTTGACCTGTAAAAGGTCAAATTTGAGCCAAACGTCAAATCATGTGTTCCCTACCAGAAAATCAGACAGATTGTGGCGGCCATAAGCGCTCGTAAAATGCTGGATACAATTGTTACCATTGCAAAAAATTAAACTTATTTTATAACACCAAACAATTATATGTTTTGGCCGTTTTGTCATCACAAGCATA